AGGCATTTGAGGAATGGAATAAGACAGAACTAGACTCGTTCCTGATTGAAATCACAGCAAATATCCTCAGATTCAAAGATACTGATGGCAAACACCTGCTGCCAAAGATCAAGGACAGTGCTGGGCAGAAGGGCACTGGAAAGTGGACAGCCATCTCAGCTCTGGAGTACGGTGTTCCTGTCACTCTCATTGGTGAAGCTGTCTTTGCTCGATGCTTATCATCACTGAAGGATGAGAGGATGCAAGCTTCCAAAAAACTAAAGGGTCCCCAAAAAGTCCAGTTTGAAGGAAACAAGAAATCATTCCTAGAAGACATTCGGAAGGCCCTCTATGCTTCCAAGATCATCTCTTATGCTCAAAGCTTCATGCTGCTACGACAGGCAGCCACCGAATTTGGTTGGACCCTCAACTATGGTGGCATAGCCATGATGTGGAGGTGGGGCTGCATCATCAGAAGTGTATTCTTAGGGAAGATAAAGGAGGCATTTGATCGAAACCCAGAACTTCAGAATCTTCTGCTAGATGACTTCTTTAAGTCTGCTGTTGAAAACTGCCAGGACTCCTGGCGGCGGGCCATCAGTACAGGTGTCCAGATAGGCATCCCCATGCCCTGCTTCACCACCGCACTTTCCTTCTACGATGGGTACAGACATCAGCTGCTGCCTGCCAACCTCATTCAGGCTCAGCGGGATTACTTCGGGGCTCATACCTATGAACTTTTAGCCAAGCCAGGACAGTTCATCCACACTAATTGGACGGGCCATGGTGGCAGTGTGTCATCCTCTTCCTACAATGCCTAACTGTTTTTGTTACCAGCACAGAAACAGAAAATTCCGTAATCTGGAACATTCCATTTGCCACAAAACACTGCTTACATGGCCCTTTGGCTCAGATCTTTTTTAAAACAAAGCGTTATAAGAGACTCCTGAAAGAGTCCATTAGCGTTTACCTGTAAAGTAGCCTGTGAGAACCACTGTGTCCTCTACCCTTGCCCAGAAGTGACCATGTACATCACCGCTCAGACGGCTCCTGGAAGCAGTCGTTTTCCATGACACTGGATAGATTGAGGCCCTGGCAGGTGGGAACGGCTTTATTGGAATTTGATCTCACTGGAACCTTTGTATCATGCAACTGAATTTTTTTCTCTCTACTTAATAAAAGCTACATTATAAAAAAAAAAAAAAAAAAAGTACAGGGTCTGCCAAGAGAAAATCAAATTTGTGTTGGAATAAGTACAGCTAGACTGCTCCTTCTAAGCCCTGATGGGAGACTTCATCTATCACACTTTGGAATAATTATTGGGATGGACCAATCCCTATAGAAGGCCACTTTGCTTGGTAAAGTAGAAGTTCAATGGAAAAAAGGAAAACCCCCAACTATATGGATTGGCCCAGCGGCAGCAATAGCAGGTTCAATCTTAACAATGATTGTGAGGTTGGCATTTGAGTCATTATGAAGCTGAACTAACTCAATAGCACCTAATAACACCAAAAACATGTTAGAGATGAGAACCAAGTCCACTGCCACCAAGTTTATTCCTATTCATAGGGACCCTATATAGAGTTTCTGAGATAAATCTTTAGTAAAGCATATAGTGTCATCTTTTCCCCTTGTAGATTTGAACCACCAACCTGTAATTCATATTTATCCTACAGTACTACCAGGGCTCCTTTGTTAAAGAATAGCTGCTGTTGTTAAATTCCATAGAGTCAGTGTAGAGACCCTGTATAGGGTTCCTAAGAGTGACTGGTGGGTTTGAACTGCTGTCATTGTGGTTACCAATCCAGTGATTATCCTACAGAGCCATACCAGAGCTCATAGAAGAGCTAGAAACATAAAAATAAATAATTTGCAATCTCTGATCTAAAAGCTTAATCTATTTTGAGAGGCAATTTTACACAAAACTTCTTGGGGAAAAAAAACTTTCTCCACCTGCATTTTCCCATCTGCCATCTCCTCAATCTGTTATCCACTCCCAACACCATCAATAATCTATGGACCCCTAAATATCAAGGCTACTTTAACCTTTCTCATTTTGTTGTTGTTGTTGTTGTTAAGTGCCATCGAGTCGGGTCCAACCCATAGCAACCCTGTACAGGGTTTCCGAGGGTGTAAATCTTTACGGGAGTAGAAAGCCTCATCTTTCTCCCGCGGAGCGACTGGTAGTTTCGAACCGCTGACCTTAAGGTTCGCAGCCCGATTTGTAACCACTACGCTACCAGAGCTCCTTGGAAAAGTATTTTCACATGATCATAATTAATTCTCACAGTGAGTCCCAGGGAGATTACTTGCTTTGCCCAAGGTCACCCAGCAAGTGCATGACAGAGGCTAGACTTGGTTCCGTATTTTCTATGGGCTGACTAAATGAATGACTAGAGGAACCTATATTAATCAACCTCATGCATACAGAATGCAGAATGCTTGAAAACATTTGTCTTCCCCTGACCTCATCTGACAGTGCTTCATGCAGCACTAGGCATGGAATTGCTTCACAGTTATTGTTGATGTCTAGGTTTCAGCACTGAATGTTCACCCACATTAGTCTCCTGGGTGGGCAGGAGGGACCTTAGTTGTGTTGAAATGCTGTCCTGAAGACCCTGTCAGGAAAAGACTTTGTATGTGAACCAACTTTGTAATTAGGGTCTTTTGGTGCCTGAGTAACTCACCAACAGGAGTGGAGCTGAAACTCATTTGAAATTGTACACTACACACTAAGAAGTAAACACAAGTAAGCCCACGCTTGCCTTGTTTATTGAGTACTCCATCCCATCAGGGATTGTAAATTTGCAAAGAGGCTAACATTCTGTAGGAAGGTTCTATGGGGTTGGGAGAGAAGGTGCTATGGCATTGTGGTTGCCAGCCATATCTAGAAGCAGAATATTTGATGTAGTGAAAAAAATTGAAATTATTCCCTATAGATTAGTAAATGAGCACAAATAAGCCCCATGCTTACCTTGCTTATTAGATCATCTGACAGTACTCACAGTCTAAGACTGACTAAAA